AGTTCTATAGAAGCATCCCACCCCAATTATGCCATCTGACACGCATTCAAATTTTGGATTTGTCGATTAACAACATCTCTGGAACTATACCCAAATGTCTCAACAATTTGATTGTTTTGGCTCATAAAGGAAACTCAAGTCAAATTATCCAACATTCATATACTGCTCAGCTAGATGTAGGTTATATTATGAATTATGAGGAGGAAGCATCTTTAACATGGAAAGGGGTAAGATCTAAATACAAAAGTACTCTGGGACTTGTAAAGAGTATTGATCTCTCTAGCAATAAGTTGACTGGGGAGATTCCTAGTGAAATCACTGATCTTGTTGGTTTGGTTTCTTTAAACTTGTCAAGAAACCAATTAACAGGTCAAATACCTCCAAGGATTGGAATGCTGCAGGAGTTAGATTCCCTTGATTTATCAAGAAACCAGATTAATGGCAGAATTCCAAACAATCTATCTCAGATAGATCGTATTGGTTACTTGGACTTGTCAGAAAACAACTTGTCTGGAAAAATTCCAATAGGCACCCAGCTCCAAAGCTTTGATCCATCTTCTTATGGTGGAAATCCTCTACTTTGTGGACTGCCACTCCTAAGGACATGCCATGAGGAGGAAAAAGGTCCAGGACAAACTGTGTTGGTGAATCAAGACGATAAAGATGGGCTCCTATCGCAAGGATTTTACATCAGCTTGGGGCTTGGGTTTGCCGTTGGATTTTGGGGAGTTTTTGGCACTCTTCTATTCAACAAGTCGTGCAGATATACATACTTCAATTTCTGGACTTGTTTCACAGATTGGTTGTACGTGAAGGCAGAAATCATCAGGCAAAGGATGCCTAATACTAGATAAATGGTAATTACTACTATCTCTCTCACATACTATTTTTTAAATTCAATGATGCAAGTTAGTTGTTCTTTATCCCGAAATGCATGTAGATATTATAGAACATAATTAATATTTTAAAAAAAAGGAAATATGAACTTTCTTTTGCTATATAAAAGGAACATGCATGCATGATTTTGTTCACTGGTTATAATTATGTTGCCCTTCGTCTTTAGCGCAGGCACCTTTGAGACGACATTCTTTCCCTTCAGTTGAAGATGGACGAGACGAAGGACTGCTATTTGTACTAGCATTCGAGTACTAGAGTGATGATGATAAGGGATCTCACTGAAATAAAGGAACCATTTATTTTATAGTAAATGAGTTGCACCGTTATTTGTAAGAACTTAATGGGAACTTCACCCATGAAGTATTTGGTATGATGTTCTTGTGTACCTCATGGTTTTTTTCTAATTCGAGCATGTTATCTCAATGTAGGGAATGCAGACGCTTAATTGCCTTTTACTGTATTGCTCGTATGGATAAAACAATAGAATAATTTGAGTTAAGTGATTCAATCACAAAAATGAAAGTGTTTGTCAATCTGGGAAAGGCACTTTACTAACATTATCTTTTTGTCTATGTAAGAAAGAAAATACTTACTTTGAAAGTCCAGTATTTTTTAAAGTTTTTTTTGTTTTTTGTTTTTAAAGGTTCTCTTCTCTATATGAACACGAAAAAAGAAGCAAAACATTTGTAAGCGCCCACCATGGGGTTCGAACCCACGACCACAAGGTTAAGAGCCTTGCGCTCTACGGACTGAGTTAGACGATATATCTAGTAAATATACAAATCTTACCACAACATCACAGCCAATCACGTCGAGTTCAAACCCTTGGGGATGTCTAGCAGTGCAAGTGTTATATAAATAGCTTCTTAGTTTATACTTTTTAATCAAGAATGGTAAACCAAAAATTCTTATAAATAGTTTCATTTTTATGAGACATCCAAATACATCCACGCATGTACACCGAAGATATTATACAATGGGAGTTTTCCAAGACTCCTTCGGCAACAATAATTTCAAATCAAATTGATAAACATTTACAGCTGATTACATCATTATCAGAATTCAATTTAGGTATTGAAGAACTAACCATCACCCCTTCCATATTCCCTGCATCCTCAACATCAAACATGACTGTGCTAAGCCCCTTTCCTACAACGTAAAATTTCTTCCCAATAGCTACAAGTTGACAGGGTGGCCTGGTGAGCAAGGATGACAGCCTTCCAACAGGAATCCACTGCCCTAGACTCCTTCTGCCATATCATCAGCCTAGTTCCTGAACTCTGATCCAACACATAGAGGGTCCCATCTACAACAACTGCTGGACCCCGCCAGCCGGCAATCATGTCGGCATCTGCATGCTGCCATGTGCCACTTGATGGTTCATAAACAACAGCGTACTCATGAGAAGTTACAGCAGAAGTCCCGCAGCGAATGTAGATCTTCCTATCCATGACCACATAATCCTCAATTTCAGGGAAAATGTAACATCCCACATTGACCAACGGAGAGGGGGTGATGTGCCTTATATGTACATGTCCGCCTCCATCTAGCACGAGGCCTTTTGGGAGCTCACTGGCTTCGGAGTCATAGGAACTCCAAAGTTAAGCTAGTTGGGGCTAGAGCAATCCCAGGATGGGTGACCCACTGGAAAGTTGCTCGTGAACTCCCAGAAACAAAACCGTAAGGGCAGAGAGGGAGGCCCAAAGTGGACAATATCGTGCTACGGCGGAGCCGATCCCGGGATGTGACAATTTGGTATCAGAGTCACTCTGCCGTGTGATGCCAGTGTGCCGACGAGGACGTCGGGCCCCTAAGGGGGGTGGATTGTAACATCCCACATCGACCAACGGAGTGAAATTTCCAACTATCGGTTTAAGGGTCATAGATGTCCCAAGAATGTGGATCGCTTGAATTTGAACCTAAACCACCAATGGAATATATCTTTCCATCCAATACTTCACAGGCGAAATAGCACCTGCATGCACAAATCCAATAAAGCAAAGGCTCTTTACAATTATAATAACAACAGAGAGCAAACTAATTTGCAAGAGTTTTTACTATTCATCACGACAGCATTCAATTATAAGAAATCTATATGCTCTGACAGGTCAAAAGACGAAATCGCCAATCTTTAACATTGCATGAAATATGGTGTCCTCTCAGCAGATAATGTGATATATTTGAACCTGGGAGAAATTATTCTAGCTTTAACCCATGAAACTCTGCAGAAAGTACAAGTGAGAAGTATTACCTGGCAGTGGATAATGGACAAGCTTCACTCCAAGCGTTCAGGGAAGCATCATAACAGTAGACCTCCCCGATAGCATCTTCACACCAACCACAACCACCCAACAGGTAAACTTTGTTTCCCAGCACTTCGAAACCCATGCCTTTTCTCTTCAAGACGCGAGGCGGAAGTCCATGAACAAGCTCCAATGACTTTCTTGATGAGTTGGGATCCAACACATAACAGCAAAGTCGGTCCAACTTGTCTCGACACAAAGCATAGATCCAAGTCTCATCAAGTTTGTGCTTTTGACGGTAAGACTGCCACTCTTCACTGCACACTAAGTCTCTCCATCTTTTTGAAACACACTTTAGGAGTGTATGATACTTCCGGGGAACCCTAGCCAGGCAAAAGAGAGCAATGTCGTCTGGAAGGCCAGATATAAGCGACTGTTGGCTCAGTTCCATTTGACTGATCCCCTCTGATACAACACCTGGCTGGTCTATTCTAATGTCGCCTGAAAAATTAAAATGGAACCGTAAGGATTTTAGATAAGTAAGACTGATATAAGCCAACAAGCAGCTTGTATGTTGAACAATGGATTCACTTTCTCAATCTTAGTAATATGCAAGCCAGCTTACACCTTCACCAGATTTCCATGCATGCTTTATTTGGCTGTGCTTAATCTTTGTCCTAAATAGTTGTGCTTCTTCGTCTTGATCATGACTCTATCTAACATTATTGATCATGAGAAGCAATTACACTGCTTCGAAGTCTTCTATGCATTTCTTGTGGTGCTTTTACTACACATGAACAATCCTTGCATTGGATGCAGTGAGAGGGAAATGCAAGCCCTCCCTGCATTCAAACAAGGCCTCGTGGATGACGACAATCGCCTCCTTTCATGGGGAAGAGAAGTGCAAAACAAAGACTGTTGCCAATGGGCCAGAGTTTACTGCAGCAACCAGACTGGCCTAAGGGTTTAGGGTTGTTCATGTGTCGATCTCTCCTACAACAATCTTAACTCTTCAATCCTTTCCATGTCTTCAATCAGCCATTGAAAGATTGAAGAGTTGAGATTGTTGATCTTAGAGGCCAATCTTTGCAAGGTACGTTTAGTCCTAAACTCGTTGAGTTGCAGCATTTGGAGTATTTGAACCTTCGTTCCAATAATTTCAGTCGGTGCCAAATTCTAGATTTCATTGGATCTTTGAGCAATTTAAGATACCTCGATCTCTCTTATGCAAAATTTGGAGGTGAAATTCCATATCAACTTGAAAACCTGACACACTTGGAATATCTCGATCTCAGCTCGGATGGATTTATTTCTGCAAAAAACCTCAATTGGCTCTCTAAGCTTTCTTGTCTAAAACACTTCGACCTCAGTTCTACTAATCTCACCGGTGTTGTTGGTTGGCTGGAAGCAGTTAATATGCTTCCTAAATTAAGAAACTTGATATTACGGGGGTGTAATCTTCCTCCTCCAATTATATCCTCTGTTTCTGTTATGAACTCTTCTAAATCTCTTGTTCATGTCGATCTCTCCTACAACAATCTTAACTCTTCAATCTTTCAATGGATGTCCGGTACTCATGCCAACCTTGTTGATCTTTATCTATCTGGGAACAATTTAAATGGTTCCTCAATTCCTGATGATTTCGGAAACATGAGCTCTCTTGCATATCTTACTCAAAGGAGGGATCCCAAATTTGTTTGCCAAGTTATGTAGGTTGCGAGAGTTGGACCTTCGGAATAATAGCCTTAGTGGACAACTTTCAAACATTATTGTCATATTGTCTAAATGCGCTCAAAACACATTAAAGTATTTGGATATCTCTGATAATAATGGCATCATGGGAGCTGTTGATTCGAAAAAATGGCTTGGTCTTCTCCCGCTCAACTTAGTGATGTTGGGACTTCGGTATGCTCTGGGCCTAGGTGGAGCATGTGATCTGCAAGATAATGAAAGAGTTTACTGCAGCAACCAGACTGGCCTAAGGGTTTAGGGTTGTTCATGTGTCGATCTCTCCTACAACAATCTTAACTCTTCAATCCTTTCCATGTCTTCAATCAGCCATTGAAAGATTGAAGAGTTGAGATTGTTGATCTTAGAGGCCAATCTTTGCAAGGTACGTTTAGTCCTAAACTCGTTGAGTTGCAGCATTTGGAGTATTTGAACCTTCGTTCCAATAATTTCAGTCGGTGCCAAATTCTAGATTTCATTGGATCTTTGAGCAATTTAAGATACCTCGATCTCTCTTATGCAAAATTTGGAGGTGAAATTCCATATCAACTTGAAAACCTGACACACTTGGAATATCTCGATCTCAGCTCGGATGGATTTATTTCTGCAAAAAACCTCAATTGGCTCTCTAAGCTTTCTTGTCTAAAACACTTCGACCTCAGTTCTACTAATCTCACCGGTGTTGTTGGTTGGCTGGAAGCAGTTAATATGCTTCCTAAATTAAGAAACTTGATATTACGGGGGTGTAATCTTCCTCCTCCAATTATATCCTCTGTTTCTGTTATGAACTCTTCTAAATCTCTTGTTCATGTCGATCTCTCCTACAACAATCTTAACTCTTCAATCTTTCAATGGATGTCCGGTACTCATGCCAACCTTGTTGATCTTTATCTATCTGGGAACAATTTAAATGGTTCCTCAATTCCTGATGATTTCGGAAACATGAGCTCTCTTGCATATCTTACTCAAAGGAGGGATCCCAAATTTGTTTGCCAAGTTATGTAGGTTGCGAGAGTTGGACCTTCGGAATAATAGCCTTAGTGGACAACTTTCAAACATTATTGTCATATTGTCTAAATGCGCTCAAAACACATTAAAGTATTTGGATATCTCTGATAATAATGGCATCATGGGAGCTGTTGATTCGAAAAAATGGCTTGGTCTTCTCCCGCTCAACTTAGTGATGTTGGGACTTCGGTATGCTCTGGGCCTAGGTGGAGCATGTGATCTGCAAGATAATGAACGCTCGGTAAGACCTTAGGGCACCGGTGTGGTACCGGCCGAAGGCTCTCCGATACTTGAGTAAGTACGGATTTAGTAAGAATTGAACAGATCTAAAGGCAATATGCCGAAAGTTCAGATTACCTCCATTTTGGGGAGTTGTGCTTCTTTTATAAACCTTGGGAGGTGTGCAAGTTGTGTAGAATTTCGATGTGGGACTGTGGACATTCATTGTGGATATGCCAAGTGTCCAGTGGGCATTGTGCCTTCGATCTGCGATCGGCATGAACAACGTCGAGGGCTCCCCTACCGATGACGCATACTGTCCACGTGTTTAGCTCTTATTGATTGCCGATTCTGGTATCAACAGGCGCAATAAATTAAGTGGAAGAATACCTGAAAATATTGGACAGATGTCCAAGTTGGAGTTTATTGATTTTGGTGGGAATTCTTTGGAAGGAGTGATTTCAGAAATTCATTTCTCGAAACTCTTCCAATTAAAGTATTTGGATTTATCCTCTAACTCTCTAGTTTTAAACTTCCATTTTGATTGGGTTCCTCCCTTCCAGATGGAATCGATAAGATTGAGGTCTTGTAAGATGGGGCCGTCTTTCCCAAAATGGCTTCAAACTCAGAAAAGTGTTTCATTTCTTGATATTTCTGATAATGGAATTACTGATACCATTCCGAGTTGGCTTTGGGATTTGTCAATATTCGATATGGATCTCTCTCATAATCAAGTCAGAGGAACAATTGGAAATTTGAGATCGGAGTTCCCACCTAAGCTAAATGTGAGTTGGAACCAATTGGAGGGTCCAATCCCTTCAACTCTATCAGAAGTTACTTTTTTAGATCTCTCCAATAATAAATTTTCAGTGGCAGCAGCTTCTTTTTTGTGCACAACCAAGGATAGTAATTTAGCTTTTCTTGATATCTCAAGCAACCATATATTCGGAGAACTTCCGGATTGCTGGATCCATTTTAAAAAATTAGTCTTTCTTGATTTGAGCAACAACTCTTTATCTGGAAAAAATCCTACCACAATGGGGTACTTGTTTAGAATCGAGACACTAAGACTAAATAACAATGGAATTGTGGGAGAGTTGCCTTCACAGTTCAAGAATTGCATAAACTTGACACTTTTTAATCTTGCGGAAAATAAATTATTTTGATCAATACCTGAATGGTTAGGGGCAAGTCTCCCGAATCTGGCTATCCTTATCCTTCAATCTAATAACTTCTATGGAAGCATCCCACCACAATTATGCCATCTCACTCGTATTCAACTTTTGGATTTGTCGATGAACAACATCCCTGGAACTATACCCAAATGTCTCAATAGTTTGACTACTTTGACTCAAAAAGGAAGTTCAAGTCAAATTATCCAACATTCCTTTTCAGGTGATTATTATCTAAGAGGATACATTTCAGGGTGTTATGATGATGATGTATCTTTACATGGAAAGGATTCAGTGCTTAATTTAAAAGTAATCTAGGACTTCTAAAGAGTATTGATCTCTCAAGCAATAAGTTGATTGGTGAGATTCCTAGTGAAATCACTTATCTTGTTGGTTTGATTTCTTTAAACCTGTCGACAAACCAATTAACGAGTCAAATACCTTCAAGGATTGGAAATTTGCAGGAGTTAGAGTTTCTTGATTTATCAAGAAACCAGATAAATAGCAGAATTCCAACAAGTCTTTCTTGGATAGCTCGTCTTGCTAAGTTGGACTTGTCAGAAAACAACTTGTTTGGAAAAATTCCAATAGGCACTCAGCTCCAAAGCTTTGAATATGCTTGTGGTGGAAATCGTCTGCTTTGTGGAGCACCACTCCCAAAGACATGCCCTGAGGAGGAAAAAGGTCTAGGACAACCTGTGTTGGTGAACCAAGACGGCCAGTATGGGCTCATAACGCAAGGATATTACATCAGCATGGGGCTTGGTTTTGCTGTTGGATTTTGGGGAGTTTGTGGCACTCTTCTGCTCAACAGGTCATGCAGATACACATACTTCAATTTCTTAACCTTTTTGAACGATTGGCTGCACGTGAAGGCAGCAATCATCAGTCAAAGGATGCTTAATAGATAATTGATAATTACTTCTATCTTTATCATATACTAATTTCAAATTCAATGATATACGAGTTAGTTGTTCTTAACCCCGAATATGCATGCAGATTTTACAGAATCAAGATAATAAATGACTTTGTTGCCCTCCAAAACTAAGGAAACATAAATTTTATCTCCTTTGGCTATATAAAAGGAACATGCGTTATTTTGTTCACTTGTTATCTATCCTCATTAGACTCGTAATCATGGTTATTTTTGTAACATCCCGACCCAAAATAAAAGGATTTGGGAATTTAATTAATTGCAAAAAAAAAAAAAATTTGAATTTCCAATTTTGCCCTCGGAGTAGGGGTAATTTGGTCATTTTCTTATCCGGAGAGATTTTGGGGCAACAAGTCGTATTCTTAGGTAGATCGTACAGAGTTGAGTCCGTAGACACATAGTGGGCTCAATTCTCTCTCTCCCTCCAGCGAAACAGCACCCCCCCTCCTTTTGTGCGACGACAGCAACTTCTCCAAGTCGCCACCGCCACCACACACCGCCACTTGGGGAGGCACCGGTCCCGTTAAAACCGCCTCACTTCCCTCTTCGATTCCCGACCGGTCCCAGCCTCGATCCGCTATCGTGGTCGCCGAAAACAGCTCCGAAACAAACCGAATTTTAGACAGTTTCAACAGATTTTCTCAAGCTCTATTCGGGTTATTTCGGCCACCATTTCCGACGATCCAGGTATGGATTTTGAACCTATCAAGCTGTTCTTGCTGCCTGTTGTGTTAGATTTGAGAGATTTCTGCGTTTTGGAGGTCAATTAAGCGATGGAAATTTGGCCGGTTTTCGGCCTCCGATTCCAGCCACTTCCGTCGACTTTTTAGGGTAGGTCGAAGAACAAAAGTTGCTCCACTCCATGTGCTTAACCTACACTGGAAGTCTTGGCCAGCGATTTGGAGTTTTTCCGATTGCCAAAAATCTCTTTGGACACCCACACGCTGCTGGCGCGTGGGGTGGCGCGTGGCACTGTGTTGGCCTGTCATTATGTCCTAAAATGATCCTTGTGTTGTCCCGAGTATAACGGTATTCTCGGATTCCAATTTGGTTATCGTTTGATCATCGATTGGATATCACATATTAGGCGTTATCCGGGTTCGATATGCTCGAACCGTTGGATCGACTCCATTCCTTTATATATTGATCTAGACATTCCTAGGATCGAGTAAGAATTTGCGGATCGTGAATCGAAGCCCCAGATGTTCCGATTCAATAACTTAAAGTTTGTGTTAAACGATAACCGTCCGATCGTGCAATCGCGAGTGATCCAACCGCTCGATTGAGACCAAACTCTCATGAAGTGTTTAGGAAACTCTATTGAACCTTTAGGAATTTTCGAATTGTAAATGGGAGGTTGTGGGCCCCGTGGGCCCAGTTGACTATCGGTTGACCAATATGATTAGTTGGACCAGACAGTTGACCAGGGGTCTTTGGAAAACGTTTCGTCTCTTGTTAAGTACTAAGATGGCCTTGGGGTTTTACTTAAAGGACGTGCACTCATTGTGAGTCCCGAGAGTTAGGATTTGTGAATTAAAGTGCAGTGTTGGGTATGATGATTCAGTTAATCTTGGTGTTCTCTCAAATAGGTTCTTTGGCGCTACGAATCGTTTTGGACAAAACCGCGGAGGGTTGAATGCGCTTTGGACCATGAGTGAGTGGACATTTGTTTTCTAAATGGTTTTATGTAACTCTTGGATTGTGATTGTTATTTGTGTTGTTTTATGGATTTGATGATTTATGGTTACTAGTTTTCAAAATAGAATATTATGCATATTCGAATTTGGTTTGAGAACGGTTTTGAAAGATTTGTGTTTTATTTGAGATAACTAAGAAGGGATTTGAGAAAGAGTGGTAAACATGGATTTGTGGAAAGATGGCTTTTATGATTTAAGTGTTGGAATTGGATTTCAAACCCACCCTAGGAACCTATTCTCGGTTGCCTTCAGAATTTATGAGATGCCTTGGGAATTAATGAGTTTCCTCGGAAGAGATAAAACGGTTGCCTTTGGAAAAAAGTGTAATAAGTTGCCTTTGGAAATTATGGTTGCCTTCGGTTAAGTCTGTGCACATGACTAGGATTGTCTGTACCTACATAGAGACTACTCTGTAGTTGTCCGGCCAGAGTATATTGCATGTACCTGTGTTCACTACGCAGGTGTCCGGCCAGTGGTTTGCATGTACCTGCAGTAAGGTTATTCTGTAGGTGTTCGGCCAATGTATTGCCTGGACTCGTATCACAAATGCGAGTGTCCGGCCAGTGATTTTCCCAAGGATGTTCCCATGCCATCTTGCCGATATATATTACACAAGGTTGGCCAGCTATTTTCCTCATAGGTATACTTGGGTGGAGAGTTTTTGTATAAACTGGATTTCGGATGATTTGTATTTGAGCTTGCTTGGTTTATTGGATTCAAAGAATGGATTGAAACTTGATGTTTATTAAATTATATTTTGAGTTATATTGTGACAGGACCCGCCCCGAATTTCCCGGAACCCGAGACGAATCCTGTGGAAATCCCGACATCACCTCGATGTCGGGCCCACTCACTAGACTGTAACCTCTTTTTTCAAAAAGGAGTAGGGGCACGAGACTTTCTACCGAAAATTCGGTAGAGTCTCCCCTGTAAATTGAACATTCCCCAAATGTTCAACCTGCATAAAACACAATTTAATATCTCAACCAGCAGCATGCACAATGTAATAACATGCAATTCACATACATGGCCTCTGGCCTTCCGATAATTCAAAGCAATACCACCAAGCACGCTATCAAGCCAATTGATACCTTGAAACAAGGCAAGCACAAAATGAAATTTCCTCAAGAACCAACGTACGAGGTTTTAACCTCCTAACACAAACGCATCTCGTTCTCACTCAAATAGTAGGACCAACAACAAGGTCCGATCATACTCAATAAAACCACCTAAGTGGAGTCTAGTCCGCGGCTGCACCTAGGCGTTATCCCAAGCTGCCTACATACCCTACTAAGGGATCAAGCCATACGTAGTTCTTTCACTAAAACCCTTTTTCTCTAAATCACAACTCAACAATACTCACAAATCTCCCCATACGCCAGAACATCCAAAGTCACGTATGGGGCCTGTCCACACACCGGATAAACCTACGACATGTGGGACCTCATCATCATATCACACTAACCCCCCATATGCCGGTACTACTACCAACGCCACATATATGTCAACACGCCGGCTACTCCTACGACACGTGTAACCTCAACACAATCATATATCTCCCCTCATACGTCGGGACGCACTCGGCCATGTATGGAGTCTATCAACACGCCGGCTACTCCTACGACACGTGTGACCTCAACATAATATCACAATAACTCCCCATATGTCGGTACTACTACCAACGCCGCATATGGGGTCTGTCAACACGCCGGCTACTCCTACGACACGTGTAACCTCAACACAATCACATATCTCCCCTCATACGTTGGGAAGCACCCGGCCACGTTTGGGGTCTGTCAACACGCCGGCTACTCCTACGACACGTGCAACCTCAACACAATATCAATGTCCCTCATATGCCGGTACGACGACCAACGCCGCATATGAGGTTTGTCAACACGCCGACTACTCCTACGACACGTGCGACCTTACAAACACAGGGTGGTACTTACAGTATCCTCAATATCCTGGGGGTACAAAGAGTAGTGCGTATAGCACTTCAAACTGACATTCTAAACTCTTTTTATACCCTTGTATATCCACATAAATATATATAATTATATAATCCTCTATTTCATAAACCTCAACCCTGGTAGAGTATTCGATAATCCCCCAATTTAAATAATATATTAATATTCTAAATTCACATAATCCACACACTCAATCAAGACCTGTCATCACGGTCATTTTAATCTTCCTAGGAAGGTAACACTACCTAGGAAGCTTCACGGTCAACCCGAGGTCAAACTACCCACCCTTGGTCAAACGGGCCCGCGGGGCCCATGACCTCCAAATTCCGATCCGACAATTTCTATGAATGCTACATGGTTTAGGACATACGTCCTGCAAGTTGGGTCCAGATCGGATGGTCGGATCGCTCACGATCGCATGATCGGACGGTTATTATAAATCTAACCCCATGGTTGGCATTTTCGGAGTATCTGGGACTCCGTTTTACGATCCGTCGAATCCTACACGATCCTAAGGATGTCCCGATTAACCTATTAGCAATTCAGGACCATCCAACGGTCCAAACCTAGCGAACCCGGATAACGTGCAATATGCGATATCCGTTCGGGACTCTAACGGTATCCAAATTGGGATCCGAGCACACCTAAGAGCTCGTGACAACCTGAGGATCTCATTGGGACAAAAATGCCCCTCAGCTACAGTGCCCACACTCTGCCACACGCTCCGGCAGCGCGTGGGTGTCCAACGCGATTACCCTTCGCCGAAAAATCTCCAAATCTCGGCTCAAGACTCCTACCCTAGGTAGAATACCTTGTTTGAAACCACTTTTGTTCTTGGGCATACCCCAAAAACTGATCGGAAGTGGCCGGAATCTCATCTCGAAATCCGGCCGAAATCCAATTCGAAAATCCGGCCGAAATCCAATTCGAAAATCGAGCTACCTACACTCAAAATTGATGCAATCCTAACCAACCATCAGCTAGATCATGAAAAATATGTAGAAATCCATACCTTACACGTCCAATTTGGTGAAGAAATGAGAGAGATCGAGCGGTTTGAATTTTCTGAAAATCCTGCTCGTTTTCTGCAGATTCCGGCGAGGCTGCGGTGGTTCGTGGCGGGAGCTGGCCGGGGTTGGAAGAGGAAAACCAGCCGGTCCTTTTGGGACCAGCGCCACCTCGAATGATGGCCGGAGGAAGCGGTGGCGACGGTAAAACCGTCGCCGCTGTTTGCACGGAGGGGGAGGGCTCACACGGGAAAGAGAGAGAGAGAGAGAGAGAGAGAGAGAGGGAGAGAGAGAGAGAGAGAG